GAAACCCACACTAAACCGAAGAGAACATGCAAACTCCCCACAGACAGAACCCAGGTCCAGAATTAAACCCAGGGCTCCAGAACTGCTAATGCAATGACAGGCAATGCCAATGTCCCAGCAATACACCCCAGGGAGCCAACGTGCCACCCATGCATAGCAAGCAAACTGATTTTAGGTCAACACAATCATGCCCAGCATCTCGAAGAAATTGGAGCTGAACTGCATATCAACCAATCAATTAGCCTATATTAAAAAAGTCATAGAAATTAAGATCAAATCATAAATATGTTACAGTCTCATTGTCAATAAGACGAGTGGTTCACATGAAAGCTTCAGTAACTCAGCGAGAAGTGCCTGGCCTTTCGCCAAGTCAGTTTCCACCTACCGAAAGCTGGCATTACTTCCACAGAGTCAAACACTTCATTACACAGCTTCAGCACTTTCAGATTGGTGAATCTCCCCAGCTGTGCAACTGAGAAAAAAACAAAACTTTACAATTAGCAGAGATCACAACTACAACCCTCTGTACAGTTTGATCTGTGAAAAGGCTGTGCAAGGGAAATAAACCTAAATCACAATTTATTTTACCTTTATTCACACACTGTAAAATATGTCCTCCAAGTGAAAAACAAATGGTCTGATTTTCTGAACAGTAATTGCGATGAAAATGAAATAGAAACTCTGGCTGGACATCTTCAGAATGAACAGTGAAATGTGAACCAAAGAGCACAGAAGGAAACTATAAGAGTGCAGAACAAGATTCCCAGGCATGTTGTTGAGGATAATGCCCTGGATTCAAGTGTTTCATAGCAAAAGCGATTAAACTACTCATGCAAGCTACATTCTGTCTTATATTTCTAATTGATTTGGGATGAGCTGTAGACTTTTGTTTTTATTTTGCATTATTTTGTCAGTAATATGTGAAAAAGTCTAGGGCAGGGTGACTAGTTTTGATAACCTCTATAAAACCCGCTGGTGTGGATAAGAACTGCTAGAACAACAATCTGGAATGTGATCCATCAGAACATGGCGCAGACTCATTGGCAGAAGGAAACGGCTCACCAAAAGAGCTCAGCTGAGAATCGGTAAACACTATGCAGCCCAGTTTGAGCTCCTGCAGGCTAGCGCAAGGCAAGGCGCCGATGATGCCTTCCAACCCAGGACAGGAGTCACTTTCCAATACAAAGCTGGACAAGAGTGGGAAATGCGCAAGAAGCCACGCTAAAACAGAAACAAAAAACAAAAAACCACCCATCAGCAGCTTCATACTGTTACTGGTGCAGACGATGACTGGCCACTCCTCCTGAAAACCACAGCAGCTGGTTCTTTCACCAAGCAGGGCAGTGCAATCAAGTTGCAATAATACAGTAGGATCTTTCCCAATAATAATTACTGTATATTGATTTGACTTCGGCATCGTACTTTCCGATATTTTAGTTACTTTTGGTTATTGGTATTAATAATGAAAGTAACTTGTAGTTGGTTACATAATCAAATTTGAAAAATTAAGACCTGGAACGCAGGTTGGGCAGATATTTAAATTCAAGCAGCAACAACATTTGATTTGTTTGGTCACGTTAAGTGTTTTTTTTTTAAATATATATTTGTTTTGATTGATTTTTATTTTTATTTTATTTTCCTAAATGTTTATTCCAATTCTCCAATTCAGGGGCACAGGGCAGCTGTCTTGTAGCACTGGGACACTGGGTTCAATTCTGCACCTGGACTGCTGTCTATGTGGAGTTTGTATGTTCACCCCATGTTCATGTGGGTTTCCTCCCACGGTCCAAAGACACTCTGGTAGGTTAATTGTCCTCTGTGAAGATTGGCTCTGGTGTGTGTGTGTTTGTGTCTGTGTCTGAGTCTGATTTACAACGGATTGGCGTCGCATCCAGTCTGATTGGGTCTATCCTGTCTTGCGCCCTTTATTTGCTGGGAAAGGCTCTGGCTTCCTCACGACCCTGTACTGTTTAAGGCACTTTACAAAATGGATGGATGGATTCACTTAATATTACCCAGAATAGTGTCTTCCTCTTGCATGTTATTATTCAAGTGCAGCTTCCTTAGGGTAACCACTTTGCTGAATCCAGCTGGTAGAGCACACAAACTTCCTGGAGCTGAAACCAGAACTAATTTCAGTTCTTCCAGTTTTGCAAATTTGTCCATTTGACGGAGTAGTAATTCTGGAACATTAGAAAAGGCAATTTAAATTGTTAAACTATTAATTAGTAAGTCATTACTAAGAAACTAAGAAAAGTTAAATAACAAATACCCTCTGTGGTCCCCTAAGCTACTGTATCAATCTCTTATTACTGTGCAGAAATAAACTTTATTACAGGACTATAGTGCTGCATTTATAATAGTAATGCAAACAAGATATAAAAAGTAAAGGAAATGTTCACTACAAAAATGAAACAAAAAACAAATATAAGTAAACTATCACATAGCAGTGATATAATTTGTTTGCACAAAAGCATGATTTGAATTATAGGAGAAAAAATATTTTTGGAAGTTTACAGTACTCATTTTCATCAATGATACTCACTAGTAAGATTTACTAACACTTTACTATTTCTCATAAACTTAACATTTAACAATGATAAAAAAGTACCATTGTACAGTACCGAAATGTACAGTTTTGTAACACAGGTAACCACACCCCATTTTTCCTCATAAGCATTAAGTCCCTGCTCGAGAATTCTCCATTTGTGGAGACATCAAGCTAACCCTTGCACAAGTAGAAACAACATGCAAGTGCATTTCGAAACAGCTAGATGAGATCCTTCAGTCAAGCCAGGAGGCTCTATTTTACAGAAAGGATGGTGGGAGTGTGGAACGAGCTGCTCAAATGGAAGCTACAGGGAAGCACATTTAAAGTATAGCATAGGAGACAACACTTCACACAAAGGGTGGTGGGAGAGTTTTCTTTCAGGAAACAGCTGGATCCTTGGATCAATTCACTAATAACTACCAAATGAACTCGATGGCTTTCTATGTAGGAAAGGTTCTTACGACGAAAAGTTATTCCACACTACGTTATCTGATATTCTATATCTAACCTACCCCAGAATTACAGGGATTTTTAGCTGCATTTAGAAAATTATACATTATTATTACTAAGATGCTAATTAAGCAGTTTTTCCTCACTGCTGAAAGCACAATGCTAACATGCCTGAGTCTAAAATCATCTGACACAGCATGATGGCAGAGTGTTCTGTACATTGAACATACTACAGCAGTCTGATTCCCAGATTCTTAGAATCATAAAACAAATTCTCAAAGTTTTAAATAACTGAAAAGATCTGCATTGTGTTTAAAATTCAGTAGGTACATTTGTTATGGAATGAAGAGAAGCATCCTAATCCATTCTGAAACAGTCAAGATATCCTTGAAAGGGAGTTTCCTGACACTTAATCCAGGCCTGCTGACCACACCGTTACAACACCACTGACCTCTTACCTGGAATGTCTGCTTTTGTGCACATCAGAGTTAAGGACCTCAAATTGGTCAGTGAGGCAAGAATTGCCTGCTCTTCTTCACTCATTTGGTTGGACAACAAATACAGTTCCTTGACCTTTGCAGCATATTTTTCCAGAACAAGATGCAGTTCTTGAACTATTCCTGAACTGTGAATTAGATCCAGAACCACAGAGTCTGACAGGAAGAACAGCAGGCTCAAGTTTCCCAGCTCTTTCTCCGTCAGTTGTCTTGTGAACATGATGGACATGCGCAGCAGGGGGATTTTATATTCATGTCTGTTGTAAGCCGAACACAGCCAATCGATAAACTCCTCAGGTATGAGAGTAGAGAGAAAACCGATTACCCAATTAAACAAATGTTTAAACATTCTTTTTTCTGTCCTCAATCTCTCAGGATCACTAAATGAGCCAGCAAGTTCTTGTTCAACAGCTGGTGGTTCTGTTATTTGAAAGCGATCATCTCGCTTCGCATCATCATTCTCATCAAAAGAGGTAATTTTCTTTATAAT